CCCACTTTTAGAATCCATTTTGATGATGAGAGCAAAGAGACCATTGTTTCTGGAATGGGGGAACTGCACTTGGAAATCTATGCCCAGGTAATTTGGAAAGCGGATTCCATGGAGTCTGCTTTTGACTGTTTTCCCAACCAAGAATTCTCCTTCCTTTGTGGCTGAGACCAAAATCTATCTGCAGATGGGCTAAGTGATGCCACCCTTTACGCCCAATTTTGTAATTGGGTGCCTAAGTGCACGTCAAGTTTACAAGATGTTTGGAGGTGTACAACTCCGCTTGCTTTAGTGTAAATCAGGGTTATCATGTGACAACTATTTTGAGATCTTCCTAGCAGAAAGCACCATGTCATTAATGTGAACAATGTGAGCTGCTTAGGGAAGAGCTTAACTTCTTAGTCAAATTTTGAAGATTCTTTCTCTCCAGTGCTTCTGTTTTGAAGGCTTGTAATCTATTTAAATGAAACTTCTGCCTGGAATAATTTTACTTTTTGGTTCAAATCCATAAAAAATGCTGTACTAAGCACTATGCTTTGCTTTAGCAGCCTTTGCTTATAATGAATTTTACCGTTAGCCATTTCCTACAGGAGAGAGAGAGGTTCTGTTTCTGTGTTTTTAAATGTATCATTCCATAATAAGAGATGATGCAGGCAGGAGGGAATAGTTAGTTACAGTGATTTATTTGTTTCTTTCAAGTTGATGTCTACGCTTTATTTTAGTTTAACACAACACAATAGATGCATCTGAAATGTTGACAGAATGAAGAAAAAGTGGCTTTTGTCTTGAAAAACTTAAACTTGAGTAAAATAATTAATGCTGTTCCCTTTTCCTGTATCTAAAGCTATAGGCCCTAAACAAGGTTGACTGCAGAATGATAGTGAATAATTTGTAACATTTACAAAAACCCAACACTCCCTCTCCCCCCACCAAGACCCCAAAAATCAGTCCAACCCCAAACCAAAAAACTAGTTAACCCTGATTAAGTTTCTCATTTCAGAAAAATCTGTAAATAAAATAATTTCCAATGTATTGTTCCAATGGTACAACTCTGCCTTTCATTTTGGGTTTTTTTCCCTGCAGCGAATGGAAAGGGAATATGGTTGCCCTTGCACCATGGGAAAGCCAAAAGTTGCCTTCAGGGAGAACATCTCCGCACCTGTGCCGTAAGTATTCATTCTGGCAACAGAGGTTTTTTAAATTTATGCAGAATTTGATTATGTAGCAGACAAAGTGCTTTTTGGATTATCAGATCAAAGCACAATGTACAGGCAAAGTTTAATTGAGGAAGGACTTTTTTCTTCGTACCTTGATTGCATATCCACCCTCATCAACTTATCTGCCCTCCCTTCAAATGCTTATTGTAGCATTTGAGCTTGTTCCATTGCAGTATCAGGTGGTCCGTTATTCCAATGCATGTTTTGGCTGACAGCTGTCCTGTGTTACTTGAACACCATGCTGTGGGTGCCAGAGAACTGTCATTTGCCAGGGAATGATCTCCTGTGGGTAGAAAATAAAACTGTAGAAAGTGAGAAGGTATTTTCTTTGAACAATACTGAATGGGAACTGACTGCTGTAATACAGCCATACTTGGGCTGATTATAAGTAGGTTGATCAAGCACCAGTAACAGTGCAGGGTAAGCACTGTAACACGCAGTCCTGCTGAGCTGTCCAGATATCTGAAGTTCTCCTGCAAGGTTTTTTCAGGTTGGATTGTGCTCCATGCTGCTGCAACTACGTTTTTCTTTCATCTAGGCAAGTTTTGCAGCTCAAGCATGTCTATGTTGGATTACCCCCCTTACTGTCAGTGCTATTGATATTTTGGGACACCTGCCCTTCACCAAACAGAGTACAATGAAGAACCTGTGCTTTTGTCCTGCAATTAGCTAGCTACTACTTCTCATTAATTTTTCTTCATAGAAAACTTAGGAACTAAAACCACTATAGATGCTCCAACTTAACTGAGGGTGCAGTGGGGTAGGAAGCAGTGGAGCTAGAAGTGGGAGTGAGATCTCTGATTGTTATCAGTGGATGATTTATTACAGGAGGTTGCACAATTGAGAGCTTCTCTTTCAAATTTTCTGCATTTTTCTTACGAAAACACTTGCTCAGATTGCAAAATTATGACAGAGAATAGCACACAATGTAAATACTGTTCTGGGAACCGAAGTTACTGCTGCTTTCTTGTGTGAGCTACTGGGGTAGACGATGCCTCTGTGTACTGGTCCACCGGGGCTGTCCTCTAGCGTAGAAGCACTCTGCAGCTCCAGCTGGAATGCGGTTAAGCAGTCCAGGATGCTGGCAGCTGCTTCTTCCCTTTATCCCTGGCCAGTTTGGCAATAGTATCTCCCAAGAGGAGAGAGCTGTGAATGACCAGTATATTGAACCTCTGCCATTCCAAAGGCGGCACAGAAATAGCTGAAAATTACTGTCTGCTGACCCAAGTTGGAGACCTGTTGTCTCCTGCCTGCATAGGGGCAGAAGCCGGTAACACTGAGACAGATGGGTGATCATTGCCCTAACCTCACCCTGTTTGCTAACTGACCTGCAGGCATCAGATCTGTGAACGCCCCACCATCTGCATGTCTGAGCTGGCAGTTACACAGTTGGCAGTCTTAAAACAAAAAAAGGCTTTTTAGAAATGACTTTACCTGGGACACCATTTCATGAAGTAGAATCATGTAGTCAAATTCAAGACAGTCATCACTTCTTTTCTGGAAAGACAAGATGAAAAGGGCTGAATTTGGGGCTTCCCCCCACCTTAAAAGAAGTGAATCAGTTCTCTTTGGTTATCATAAAAATTCTCTGATATATTTCAGATGAAACTGGCAGCTTGTGCTAACAAATAAAGCAGATGGAGCTTAGTCACTGTAACAAAACAAAAAGATACTGTTTTGTATTTCTGTGAACTCCAAAATTGCATTTCAGAGACTGAATGTGAAACTTAAAACTGTGCTAATTCCTCCCTTACAGAAGCTAGATATATCTCAACTTCAGGAACTCATTTGGGAAGGGAACACCTGATTCTACAAGGTGTCAATTTAACCCAAATAATCCTAAATAAAATTGTCGATAGGATAAGACTTGGAACGCACTCCAGAGGCCTTACAGCAGATAACAAATTATCAGTGATAGTGTGAGCGACAGAATACCCACTGGCCTTTAGAGCATATTCTTTACATATCTATTCTTCAGGGAAAAGAAAAGGAACAAAATTACTAAAGAGAGATAACAGCTAGTTTAGTTTAATAGTCTTCTGTCTGCCTTATTCTTAAGTTCATGTGGTTTGTTAAGAGGGTTTTAAAATCTTGCTTGTGCACAGCCCTGCAGCATCTGTGAACTGCTTTCGGATAGCCATCAGAGGGAGCAAAACGTTAACAAATTGTGCTCCCAGAATGAGTTTCTGCCTTTCATACTCAGAACTTCATTGGCATTCACTGGCTGTTCTGAGTGGCCAGACATTCGGGCTCTGAAGTCTGTTCTGAAGACTCCCGATATATTGGGTTTTCTAAATACGAAGTGCTGCTTCTTTATTCTAGCTTACATACTAAATTTTCTTGAATTTAAAGTTGACCATCCCTTTAGGAGTTATTCTTAACTCACAGTATATTTTCTCCAAATAGAACAGAGAAGAACTGGGAGAATCTATAGAATTCTATTAATTTAAAAACAAAACCAAAAACTTCGCTCTGATAGCAACTTGATTTTAGAAAAGTTATTTTATCAGTTAAGCCTGTTCCAGGTAAGAAGTCTGCAAGGCCTGTTGATAATGGCAGCTAATGACTCAATTAATTTGAATAGCTATAGTGAGATTTGCCAGTTGTATTTATTTCTTAGCTTAGGGCAGATCCAGATCTGCTCAAGATAAACACATCACTTCTAACTGCTTAGAAATAAGTGAAAATAGAAAGTATTTTGTCCTGAAGTATTCTGTTCCCTTTCTGCCTTGTGACACGTATTCCTGAATTCAATTTTCTTATCATAAACTTAACTGATGTTCATTATACTAATGTAAGTCTAAGAGCATGGCTCCAATTGACTGAATTTTCCAGATCAGGTAGAAAGCTATCCCTAAAGTGTTACTGTTAACTGAGTCCTTTAAAAAAAAAAAATTAGAGAGCACTTCTGCAATATGAATGTCTCAACTAAAAATTAATTTTAGGTGTCCTCCCCCCCCCCCAAAAAAAAAATTAGTAAGTTTGGGAAGAACAAAGTAAACAAAGCTAATATTGAGAGTGGAATTAAATCAATATTTTCTTTCTTGATTAGCATTTTGAGGTGAACTAGCAAATGGGTAGAGACTGCCGTACTGCAAACAAAAGCAATGTAGATTGCGTTTTATTGAATTTGAGGTGCAGCCCATTGCTATCTGTCTAGACATGGCTATCGCAGAGATGTCAAGCAGTATTACTGTGACTGATTGCTAGATCATGGTGTAGATCAAGAGATAAAGGACAATATTCCAATGCATGTTATGCAGATGCCAGAATACTGTCAGCTGGGCTTACACTACAGATGAAAGGCAGGAAAGTAATACAAAACTGTAATCAACATGATGACCTCGAAGTGGAAGAGTCAATTTTCCTAACTAAATAAACGTAGAATACAGGTCTTGCCAAGAAGACACAGTTTCTATAAGTAAAATTTATGAAGAGGAGTAGTGATCTAAAATAAACACTCAAGCCATCAGTGAAAGCCTTCATGATTTGCTAGAGGAAAGGGGCGGGTGGAACAAAAAGCAAACACTGGCTTAGAAATGAACCGGACGAAGAAGTTTAGACACAATTGAGGTTTCTTGTTTAAGAACGTAGCTTCAGCTGTAGTCCAGTACATGCACAACTGCTTAACTCCTAAATATTACTTTTATTGCAGGGCATTGATGGTAACTTACCACTTGCTTCACGTGTTTAATTTGGGCAAGCTGGAACTTAGTGTTTTCAGTTGAGTTCTGCCATATCACGTAGCCAGAGGCGACCTGCGCTAGCAGGCGGATGGGCTCCATTTCTGGGGACACACTGCCATGGCTGTCTGGCAAACAAAATGAATAATATACAGTAAGCAAGATTCATGGAGTTGCAGCCATTAACAGAACCTTATCACCTAATAGTAGGGTTTGGTGCTAAAGTCACTCGCTTACGTTCCTTGCTTTGTCAGAGACCTTCCATATAATCTTGAAATAGCAGCTACATCACCACGGTGCCTGTTTTCCTCCTACTTCTTTCTCTTAATACATATACTGTAGTGTCTTCAAGGCAGGGGTTGCTCTAAAGTAAGAGCAGAGCCTAGTACTACAGTCAGGGTGTCTGACGTACTATACCGGGAACAGCCACAAACAGTGAGCAGGATGCTGGTAAAGGGAGAGGAAACAGTAGCAGGTGGCTTTCAAGAACAATCACATGCAAATCACGTATCGGTTCTGGATTTCAGAAGCGATGAATAAATTTAGTAGCGTTGGGATTGACACACCACCCTGAATAAGAGAAAGTGAAGCAGCGTGTGTTCAGAGTAGGGCTAATGGCCTGATCCCCTCGGCCCCGGCTTGTGTGGAAGGGGCTCCCATATGGATCGTGGACCACCACCAGCTGAGCTCAGGTTTGCTTCTGGCCATGGAGGACGTTGTCTCAAAAACTTCCTTCTCGCCCAGACCCCTTCTTTGTACCTGGTATATTTTCTGCCACAAGCTCTTTTTCCAGGCTCTTGATTCGACTGTAGAATATGTTATCTGCTTCATCTGTGTTCTTAAGTTCTCCTTCAATTGTGAATTGCACAGCTGGAGCAATGTTTTTGTTGCCCAGATGATAAAGAACCTCAGCAGTGCAGTTAACAGTACTGTCCTGTTACGGAGTTAATTATGTGTATTAATATTTGATTAAATACATGTATAATGTTGGTAATTTGCACTTCTAAAATGTACTTCTTTTCTTTATATAGTTGCCGTTTTGTCTGAGTCTGGCCCATAGAGATTTGTGATTATTTAAGACAAGGTTAAATTCATAGTATTTCTGTGAATACGCTGCAAGGGCAGTTTTCTTTCTGCAGTGATAGAAAGGGCAATGTCTGTGGTGCAGAATGTCACTTGTGCTATTCAGTTGGGAGTACTGGGTTCAAATAACTTTGATTTGAAATTGAATGACACTGAAATGTTCTTTGTCATCCCTTACGCATTTCCTTGTGTCATAGTGGTTAGGTACTAGACATTTGGGGCTTTTATGGTGTAAGAAATGGAGGTTCCCTTTTAGTAAAATTGAGCCTTTTTTTTTGCCTGATTTGCAGTATAGAAAAATCTGAAACAGGATACCAAATGTTATTAACTGGTGCGTCACCGGCCTCAGCTAGGATCAGCAGCGTGAAGTGTTGGCTTTTTATTACACACCAGTAGTGCCAACTTCTGCCCACAGAATGTATTATTTAAATAAATCTGAACTCACTTTGTCAAGGATGTCTTCTAACACCAGTTCCAGATGGTACTTATGCCCAACATCGTCGATATCCTAAATAAGAAGACATTAAGAACATTTATTTTGTAAGATGTTGGATTACTTTGCGTTGCGGAAAAGATTCGCGTTACTGTGAAACGCTGCAGCAGTGTCGTTCCCCGCAGGAGCCATGCAGAGCTAGGATATTCTTTTATTTCTTCCTGCCGTGTTAAGAGTGCTCCTGCACACAGCATTGGATCGGTGAACGGAGCCGGTCTGCAGCCACGAGATGACACATCACGGCAACGAGACAGAACATGCGAAGACCACCTTGTAGGACGTGCCATTGCCCGTTTGAGGCAGCCCTGCCCTCATC